TGTGATCACCCCTTCATTTTAACTAGGCCTTCTAAAGATCCTTCTGGGTCCAGTGATCCCCTTTTCCCCTCTTTTCCTCCTCCCTGCAGCCTGAAAGAGAGCAGCAATGCACTCATCACTGAAAAACACTGCAAGCTTGAGGTCCTGCAGCACCGATCTCTTGGAGGCAGAAGAATGATGACACCACTCGTAGCTCGGAGTCGTATCACTTCTCTCCTTCATCTTCTGAGCAGGAATATTGCAGAGGGAGATAATGCCATGGCAACACAGAGAGGTTTGTCTCCACCTGACTTTGTGGGCAAGAAATGCCATGGGGCAGACATCCAACAGGAAAGAGCTTGCTGGACAAGTGACCAGCAGGTGATCACCCCCAAAAAAAGGACATCTAAGTATGGTGTGACATGGCAATGTGTGATAGCCCACTTAGAGAAGCAATACTACATAAGGACATACTGTACAAAACCAGTTTGCTTTTTGCAATGAACATTTCAGTATCTTCACCACCCTGAAAATCAGCTGACACTTTACAGGAGCCGAAATGAAGCCCGTGGTGCCCCAATCGACCTCTCCGCAGCACTGAAGGCAAGCAGCCGAGAACAACGGGGAGTAAGGTATCACAGGAAGAAAAGGATGTTGCAAAAAGGACTTTGAAACTTATTCTGAAAAAATGCAGCAGAAAAATTGAACCTACAGTTTGGAGGGACTTGTTACGGGCTAAAGACTGTGGTTCAACTTTGACTAATGCAATGTTTCTCACCCTCAGACATGGGACGCTTTAGGGGCTGCTTTGTGGGACCAAGGTGATCAAGGAAAACCTGAGAAAGAACCCTTGTGCCACCTTGACAACCCTTCTGCACCCTCAGTGAGTGAAATATAAGGTTCTGATCGTAAGCTTGGCAAGGCTGTGGGAGGAGAACCAGAGCCCCTGGTCCTCTGATCCATTTGATCCAGAGGGGGAGCCTGATCTTTTCCTCCTCCCTATCTGCATGAGCTGTGGACAACAGTGAGAAAACAATCTGCCACAGAGGGGAATTCTGATTTACTGCACACTTTTGTGGTCATTCACCAGCCCAATCAACCACCTAGGATGGGAAGGCTTGCCATAAAAGAGCTGCGTTGCTCTGCCTTAGACAATGGCATCACTGCCCACCTTAAGCAAACCGTGCCACTTATGCTGACAGGTACACAATTCACTGTCTGGATGTCAGAACGGAGAGAGCTTTGCGCTATTCAAGCTGCTGACAATTTACAGCAACCCCAAGGGCACATCCTGTGACCTATAGGTGTTGAAGCACTTATGGGAGAGGGAAAACACATGCCTATTCCTAGACAGGCTCAGCTGCCTGCTGAAGCCCTTTGACAGAAGAAGGAGCTCACTTGTGGGCTTTTTGTAAAGTGACAGATGCTGGTCTCACTGTGTTTGTTTATGTAAGATTGGTACAAGGAACAACACCTCTCTCATCCCATTGGTGGCACAAGATAAAAAAAACTCTCAGGACATCTGTGTCATTGTTTTGAGAGCTAAAATCTTATTTATACAACAGTCATTGAGGGAGAAAAGTTTCCCTGAAGACTTTCCCTTGGGAAACAGACCAGCCAATGAGAGCCCCAAACTCTCTCAGGCTCAGAAAATCATGTCCACACTCTCCCATTTTTGTTGTTGAGAAAATGAGTGGAAAACGGCAACTCCTGCATGATGATCTTAGGAAAATCACTTCTCCATCTTCTCAGAAGGAATATCTCATCCTCTAACCATGAAAATTGTGGACACAGTCTGGACTGTAAGTGCAAATTTTGCATTAAGTGCAGATTCACTGCATCAGAAAAAGACTTTTCTACGCAACAGCTGGCTAAGTCGTGTTATGTATTTTCACACCTAATCATTTCTGGATCAAATAATTTGGCATTACTGGAAAAGTAAAAGATACTGAAAAGCTACAGAAGTAGATGACACTCTGACTCTTAACATACATGTGTATTTTGTGCTTAAATAACTCTTTTTCTCAGTAGAGAGTGTTCAGTACTCCTTTTCAGGACTTGTGCTCTTCCTTCTCAAGCTTTATTACTTCCCAGTGTCACATATGTATGCTCAGAATCTTTTGTGGAGGTACATAAGTGCCTTGAGCTGCTGACATGGGACAACAAAATCCCCTTTGGAGTTCTGCTCAGTGTCTAGAATTCAGATACTCCATGACATACTTTGCAAGTTTTTCTTGCACAAAGACAATCCAGATCAAAGAGATCATTATTTATTTTTTTAGAGAACCATTCTAGTTCAATTTCTGAGGGCTTTTTGAATCTATGAAGCTTCACATCAAAACAAAGCTGCCATTAGTTCAATTACAGTGAGATGACAGAAATACCTTGGTTCTGCTTTTTTTTTTTTTATTTTCCCATGGCATTTTGAATATATTGCCTCCAAAAATGATTACAAGTATTAGTATTGCAGCTATTACAGCTGTGCTGCTTCCTCACACCCCAGCGTGACAGCAGATTAAAATCCACACTCCCACAAATAAAAAGATGCAGAAAAAGGCAAAGAGTAAAATCAGGGGTGCCTGACGGGAGCTGGGGCTATCCATGGCTGGTGCTGAGGTGCAGGATGGCCGCTCGGATGGCCGCTCCTTCCTGGTGCCAGGTTGTGCATCAGTAGGATGAAGCTGCGGCAGTTCGCAGGAGCTTGTCCGAGGCACAGTATGAACTGATGTGGTGCCGAGGGAGATCGTGGCAGTAACACCATAGACATGTGGGGACACCAAGTGGCCAGAGGGACTGCGTGGGTTTGGGACGGCTGTGGGCTGTTGGCACCGAAGTCCTGCCGTGTGGGGGGATTGCAGGGGCACAGCAATGTCGAGAAAGTTGTTTTGAAGCGGGTTGTGGGTCTCCTGCTGATGGAAAGGGGCTGGGGGTCCCCCTGATACCTTGCAAGGTTGGGGAGCTTTTCTCAGGAGTCACTGGGGCCTGTGAGTCCCTGAGCAGCCTGGTGAGCCCAATGGTCCTGAGATGGAGACCTGGCCACCGAGTCCCCATTTGGAGAGCAAGTGGCCACTGCTGCATCGCCAAGAGCTGGTACCAGCTGGTCCCAGAGCTCGTCTGTCACCTGCAGGTGGAAGGGGAAATGTCCTTCCTGAGGCCCTGGATGGGCAGAGCCGTTGAAATGCAAACGTGGCAGAAATGGTGATGCAGCTGGAGATGGAGACAGGGTCTACATAAGAGAGCCTAAAAGGGAGCCAAAGACTTGGCTGCAACCATAACGTGAATGTAGGTCTAGGAGGGAACGAAATACTATTTTCTTACACAACCTCGAGTATTAGGAATGACAATACAAAAGATAAAAAAACGATGAATGTAAGCATTAGCGAACTAGTTATGATGAATGTGTTAGATTAAAAGAGTGTGCTGTGTTTGTAGCTGTAAGAAAATAAAAGCACAAGTTATATAAGACCCCAAAACCTTAAGACTATAATATTTCGAAAATGAAA